CATTCTGCTCTCGCCCGCGATCACCTCCAGTGGAATTCTAATGGAACTGCAACCAGGATGATACACAATAGGGCTAATAGGAAGTGCCAAGGCTCTCCGTTAGATGGGCTCTGCCCACTACCACATTTCAGTTCAGGGAAGAGTTCAAAAAATGATTGGTCGATATTATGCATGAGGAATACATTTTGGTAAGTTGTAGCATACTGTATCTTTCAACAGTGTTTGTGTTCTTTTACCATTAGCTAGTAGAGATGATCGGTTCAAGTGTGCTAGGGATCTGTGGTGTAACATTTACAAGCGCCAAAACGGTATTTATTGTTTGAATTGCATAATAAAATTGACAGAATCTGGCCCAGGCTTTTATTTTTCCATATCGTTGAAATGCGCCAGCTTGTTTTTGAGACAGGCGTCTATGAGACGGTCTTCATCATTTAGTGTTGTGAGATGTTGTTCATTGAGTCTCTGATCTCTAAAAATCTCCAAATGCTCCACGTGAAACTGCGGTCTTCCAACCTTTTACTATCGTGTCAAGTGATTTGAATAATATGCGCGAGAAAGAGAGAGCAAAACAGCGCTCGCTTGTGTTGTTTGAAGACATGAGAGTGCGCGCGGCCGTGGCACAACTCACTTTCTGGAGGTATACTGCCCCCATCTGGTATGGAATGTGGAATATGATTTGATTTTATGTGCCAGATCGCACCTTTAATATATACTTTTACCTGAATGAGTAAGCCACACAACCCCGTTTGCCCTTCCAGTGGTTGATGCACAAAACATCAGAGTGACCAGGAAAGCGTTTAGATTGGTTCCCATCTGAATCCTGGACCACAGAGCAGTTCACCTGCAGAATGTGACAAGATCAGAATGTGAAAAGTCTAGATATTTTGCTTTTTGAAGTCCATTTATATAAAATATATCTGCAAATTGTTATGCAAGACATGAATGATCAAGCCAGAAAGCATTATAGTAAGTTTGCGTACCTCTGTTGTGGTGATGAACTGGGTAAAACGCAGCAGCTCTGTGAAAAACGAAGGTTGTTCTGATGCCCATGGCTGCAGTTTCAGCTCTCTAGCTGTAGCCTGTAAACACACAAACACAAAGATCTCTCTTTTCTTGGCCAAATTTACAATACACATAGAAAAAAAAAACAGGGATGCGGTGGAGGAGGGTCAGGCATTCGATAGCCACACTGTGTGAGCATGTGCAGTGCTTCAGGCAGGAGAAGTTGCAGCTTGTTTGGGGTCACAGAATGTGGCCTTTTGAAACCAGAGTTTGAACAAAAGAAACAAGAGAGAACTTTTTAAATCTGATGGGATGTTGGAAAATGAGCCTCTCCCAAAACATAGAACAACCCTGTTTCGTAACCATGGAGACACTAGACTGAAGAGGAGATATGACTCACTGAGGAACTCACTGTTGTGGGGGCGGACAGCGAGACAAACAGAAAAGGAGAAAGTGAGTGAGAGACTTTTGCAGAACATTTTTCCATGTTAAAGAGTCTAGGAGGGATCCCCGTATATTTTGCCAAGTCACACATATGTTTTTCAATCCCTCCAGATAAAAAAAAAAAAAAGAACTGCATAATTTATTCATTTTTAAATTCAGCCCATTTACTAAGGCATTTTTTTTCTTTTGAGTTGCAAGACCATCCCCCTAAAACTGGAAGAAAATAGGTAACCTGCATGGTGAATATGAAATTACCTGAGGTTTTTCAAGCTCGTTTTCGTCTTCATATGCTGCTGTGAGTCCTAAATCCTCGTCAGTCCATAGACCCAATACACCGCTTTCCAAATCCCTGTCGTTTTTTCTAACCTCAGACGACAGTGACCCGTCACTCTTTGCTATGCTTATGACGAGAAAAGCCGGTTCGTCACCGCTCGTGCTGCTAAATGCGCGCGACACTTTTAAATTAACCAGTAGTTGTACGAGCAGAAGCACCGACAGACCCATAATAAACACACGGTGGGAAATACCTCTTAATCCGCTAAAGTTACAAACGGCCATGCCTTCCCTATTTGAGTTTGGAGTGACCCATGGGAGCGCAGACGCCAGAAATGAAGAGTCGGCGCCACCGTGACTCTCTGGCTCGAGGGCACTCACTGGGATAGAAATCACTGCTGGAGACTGTCTAGTGTGTCCGAGTCAAAGAATTTTCTAAAGCCAACGTTTCCAAAGAAAAAAAAAACACGTTAATAGACATAGGCCTACTACATATTATATTATCTTAATGGAAAAAAAATCAGGTCTGTTTGTGTGAGGTTGAGGGAGTGAAATTGGAACAGGACAAATCACAGAAGCCAGTGGAACGCGTGCGCAACCATTCAAACAGACAGTCGCACACACACACCACCCCCGCGCGCGAACACATTTCACTACTTTGTAGTAAAACAGCGCGTCAAATGAGGATGTTCAAATAGCCACAATTCATGATGCAGGTGAGTAGGCTACCACCATGACGTAGGCATCTGCTGGGAATCTGTAATGAGCAAGTCAGTGTCATACTTCCCACTATTAGGCTATAGAGTGGTAGAAATTAGAATTCAGAGGGGTGGTGATGGCGCAGTGGACAAGACACATGCCTTTGGTGTGAGAGACGGATTCAAATCCAATGTGTGCCTGAGCATGACACTTAACCCCTAGTTGCTCCAGAGGCATACATACGACCTCTGACAATGTTAAGTCGCTTTGGATAAGGCGTCAGCTAAATGAACAAATGTAGGCTAAATGTTATAAACACTACCTTTCAATCCAACAATTAAGCGAACACTATCTGGAATGGAAGGCAAAAGCAGATCAAGTCTGTTATTTCTGGAGAGTTGGCCTACTGGTGCTTTGCGACGTCCACTTTGCAAACAAAAGGTCTAATTTGTGGAAGAAATGGTGTATATACACCAGACAACACAAACAAATCATTAAAATTGACTTGTTAGTCAGGAGTAGGCTATTTTCTCTTTCCTATTAAAAAACTTTCCCTTACTGCTTTTGCTAGTTCCTTAATAAACAATTAATGTTTCTTAATGAACAATTACATGTGGGCTACTTGCTGACAGCTAAATCAGGGGACGTCTGGTTGAGCATCAGGAGTTTATTTTTAATTAACATTTGTTCACGCATGACAATCTCACTGATGATTGCAAAGTCCTAATGAACTGTAAATCAAATTGCTTGTAAACTTGTAACTTAAAGTATCATTTTTTTTAATGCACTATGTATTTTTATAAAATCTGTTTGTGATCTCTGAACAATAAATATTATAATTTGGTCCAAAAATATGTGAAGAATAATTGCAAAATGAGTAATAAAATAAAATAAAAACCTAGGTTTGCACAGAAGGTGGATATTAATTTAATTTAAAAGGTAAATGCATATCTGATATTGGCTATGTTTAATGTTAGAATGACACACAGCCAACATTATTATTATTTTTTTTACCTTTAAACTTTTTTTTTTGTATTTATACAAATGGACAATGAAATAATATGTAATCAGCCTGCTGCATGTTATATTGTATTTTCCAGGTGCTGCAAAGGGCATTTGTGTTGCATATTGAAACCAAGATAACCAAGAAACAGGAGTGCACAACTGCTGCTAGAAAGTGGCAACAAAACTATCAAACAACTCAAATAGAGAACACAGAGAATGTGGTAGTGAACAGATTAAGTCTTTTTCTTATATGTTATATTTGCGAGATGCTCTTTCAGAATTCACGAAGGCCTAAAATATTAAATTAGACGATAAGCAGAACATTTTTCTTTAGAGGCGTTGGGTTGGTGTGATGAAGATAACTGACATAATTGGCCAATATTTTCACATTCTCAACACAGTGGGGCAGTGCAAGGATGAGAAATGAAATCCCCATCCCCCCTTCAATACTAAACATATACAAACTAATCAATGAAAAATGCACACTATTCTCATGCTCTCCTTCTCCCAGGTTACTTACTTTCCATAGATTTCATAATTCCCATAAAATATTGCTTAATTTCTCTAAAATCCGTTCATGTCCTCACCTGAACTCATCTGAGCTCCTCGACACAAGCACAATTGCCTCGTTCCAAATGCCTGAGTAACGCTGCACGGCCAGAATGCAAAAGAGGCACCAAAACCACTCACACAAAAAGAACTGTTTCAATACCATTTCAGAAAGAAATGTTTGGAATTACAACATTATAATGAACCGTCCAGTTTGATCAATCTCATGCTGCACATATATACATTATATTGATAGTAAACCATTTAAAGGATTAGTTCACTTTTTAAAAAACTTTTGCTGATAATTTACTCACCCCCATGTCATCCAAGATGTCCATGTCATTCTTTCTTCAGTCGAAAAGAAATTAAGGTTTTTGATGAAAACATTCCAGGATTTTTCTCCATATAATGGACTTCAATGGGAACCAAACGGTTCAAGGTCCAAAAGACAGTTTCAGTGCAAACTGTTCAAAGGGCTTTAAAAGATTCCAGATGATGAATAAGGGTCTTATTAAGCGAAACGATCTCTCTTTAAAAAAAACAAAAAAACTTTAAGTTTTATAAGCTCAAATCGCCAAGCTCTGTTCTGTGATGCATGTTCGTGACTCTCCTGTTCAAACTCCTTTATCAAAATGAACAAATCTTTTTTCGTGTCATTTGGTTCATTCAACGAATGAAATGAACGAGATTCGTTCATTTTGAGAAAAACGAGTTTGAATAGGAGAGTCACGAACGAGCATCAGAGAACAGAGCAAGGCGACCTTGAACCATTTGGTTACCAATAAAGTCCAATATATGGAGAAAAATCCTGGAATGTTTTCATCAAAAACCTTAATTTCTTTTCGACTGAAGGAAGAATGACATGGATATCTTGGATGACATGGGGGTGAGTAAATTATCAGCAAAAGTTTTTTTTTTTAAAGTGAACTAATCCTTCAAGGCATTAATTAAAATGTACTTTTTATCATAAAAATGTATTTGGACAGTTACCTGAATGAGATCTGACGAGCCTTAGTAATAACTGCAGGTTAATATCCATTGTATTTTTATTTTCCTGCTTGGCCACCAATGGACCTCATTTAGTTTTCATCGTATTTCCCCAACCACAGAGGAGAGGCAGGACAAAATTAAACAATGATCAGAACAGAATGTGTATTTAAATATTTTCACCTCAGATACAGTATATGGAACAGACAGATACAATATTTCATCACAAAAAATCACTGTACGACACAGCGGACCACAAGAAATACGAACAAAGGGATGAAAGAAAAAGAGGAGGAGAATATGCATTGTCCACACCCTGAGCTTCAGGCCATCATATCCAGGGTAGAAAGTACCCTGGCCTCAAAACATCTTGACAAGGACAGCATCTGTCAGGGGCAGTGCATGGGTGTCTGTCCTCCTGTTATGATAAAAACACACAAATGAGAGTTGGATGTTGGGCACAAAGTGACCATGCTGCAGATCCAGAGGTTGAAGGGATCAAATGTGGACACATTCCTGTGGAACCAGACCAGGCCACAGATTAAAAAAGATTACTTAAACTGTACTTGCACAAACCCAAGCTGAACAATTTAAAGCCACATAAAACTGGTATTTCCCTCATGTGTTCTTACAGCAGTTCCAAAACACTGTCATGACATTGCTGCATTACCATATCTCTTTCAGCGGGAGATTTGGTGGTTTTCATAGCAGTGAGCTCCTCAAGTGATCGAACCCTTTGAGTAGCTTATGTACAAATGCTGTTTTTGTTTTGATTTAAAAATGATGAACTTAAGAATGAGAAGAGGGCAGAGTTTGTGCAGTCACCATTCATAGATGCTGAAGGAAGTGGACCTTTAGGATTAAGTAATCTCCCCAGTGACAAAATCAGAGGAGGCTTTTGAGACTGAAACAGACAAAAAGGGAGCAAGTTCAGGATGTAGACAAAAACCTTTTGTGTGGTCTTGCACATTGTTTGAGTTTTTGGGCATCACTGAAATGTGAGAATGTGTGAATCACATTTGCACGGTTGCACTGTAAAAGAACGGGACAAGGTTGTTCCCTGCATTTCATCAAATTGGTTTCAACGTGATACAAGTGGTTTCCATTCTTTGTTTAATAAGTCCCTAGCCCAAGCTGTGTAGCAATATTAGTTTGCAAAACGTTTTGTGCGTGCATTTGCAGTTGCAAGTCGGCGTATGAAAAGTATATGCAAGTATGTGAATGTTTGTGTCCGTGCATGTGTTTCTGCGTCTGTCCATGTGTGTGAATTTGGATCTTGATTGTCACTGCTGGAGAAGTCTTTATTTAGTCCATAGCTCCGAAACTCTTCAGTCTAGCTCACTAAGTGTCTCCCAAAGCTTATCCTTTACAAAAGATTAAAAATATGAAAAGGGTACTGTCCATTTCATCTGTCAAGACAAAAAGAAAAAAATCAAATGAGGATTAGTCTCAATACATAATGACATAAATTTGTATCACAATATAGATTGTGGTAGCATTAAACCATTTACTTGAACAATTTCATACTGCTATCATCTTAACTATTTACCAGTATTAATGTTGTACCTCTTTAGCGATGGTATGATAAATCCAACTACAGGCTGGTGACGGTGAAGCCTTCATCGCTTGGCTGGTCAAGAAGCTGGCAGAGTACCCCTCCCCGGGCTGTTTGGGGTGCATAACGGTGTCCAACAGGTGCATAGTTGTCCAAGTTACCATGGTAAGCCATCTCATCATGCTGAGGCGAAGAGTCCAGAGTTCCACTCACACAAGTTGACATGGAGGGACCCCTTTGTAAAGGGGAAGGGTAAGATGAATGGGATGTAACTCTCATCCCAGAGACCATCAATGACATGTCCCGTTTGTGGGAGGGCAAAGAGACTGCTGGTGGTCGCTGTTCCTCATAATTTTGGGGGCTGCCAGCAACACTTCCTCCTTGCCCATACCAGCAGGGAGAGCCACTGTAACTTGGGGAATCATACTGGGAGAATTGCTCTTTTGGGACCCGATGCGGACTCATGGCAGAACCACACTGCGGCAAAAGCCGAGGGGTTGGGGAGAGGGTTGGGCTAAAAGTCCTGGCAGCATGCCCATAAGTCTGTGAGGGAGGACCAGGTTTAGTGTACTGCTTTAGAGCATCTGACTGATTTGATAAACTGGGGGAGACAGAGGCAGAGTCCGGAGGAAAGACATGAGCAAATCTCTCATCTGAGGAGGGAGTAGAAGTGTGGACAGAATATGGAGAGGGGTATTCACAGGACTCTGGGGCATGGCTGAGAGGTGATAGGCTACTACTATCGCCACTGTAGTAATCCAATGCTTCTTGGTATAGACCCCCTGAACTCATGTGCCCTGACCCAGATGGGGTTGAAGGCTTTTGAGATTTGGTTTTTGGAGGGGGACGATCTCTTTGGCAAGGAGAGTATCCTCCCCTGCCTCTTGCTCCCCTTGGCTGTCTACCACCTGTAGCACTCCGTTTTGGTCCTCCTTGCATAGGAGGGCTGGCAGGTGAACCTGGGGGAACAGAGCATGCTTCCTTCTCATTGTGTGTCTCAGACTTTTTCCTTCGCCCACGACCTGGTTTGGCCCCCCCTTGGAATAGTACATTCTGACTCCAGTTGTAAGAAGGGCCTGCTGAATTTTCATTCCAGTCAAGCATTAGCTTCTCCAGGCTTGAAAGGCTAGACTGACCCTCAGGCATAGGAACATCCCTTGGGCGATATGGTCCCCCCACAACATTCATCCCTCCTCCACCAGTGTGAGAAGAGTCTGAGGAGGATTCAGAGAGTGTGTCAAGGCAGGGACGTTGTTTGGCTTTTTGGGGTGTGTAGTTTGAGATGTCCAGAATGTCTTTGGATTCTGATCCACTTCCAGCTACACCATAATCAGAGTAACCATGAAACTGCTGAGTACCATATGCATCACTACCCCAGTTATTTCCCCCTTGCCTGTATCCCCACTGAGCTGTAGAGGTGTATTGTCTGCAACCCTCAGGCGGAGAAGAGGATAAGGAATAGGGGCTAGACTTTGACATTGATATATAACTTCCACCTGGTGAAGTTGCACCAGAGTCCCCTCGCTGTATGTTTGAATGGGGTGGGCCTGGATATCCACTATAATTGCGCTTGGCAGAACCCTGGTAGTTGGAATAACTCATCTGACACTGTGCAGAGGGAACAGAGGGAGTTTTTGTACCATATGTAAAGCTACAGTCACTTGGCCTTTGCTGTTGTTGCTGCTGCTGTTGAGGGAGGGGGTAAATACTTCCTCCTTGAGGAACCCCAGCACTATAACTAGCTGGATATAGAGGGAAACCTCCAGAGGGATGTGGAGAGCTGGGTGAACGGGAAAGCAAGAGTGCAGGGGATTTAGGGAAGGATGGAGTTGGAGAAGTCTGTGAGACACTGAATGAATATGAGGGTTTAGTTGCCGAGCTGCCTTGAGTTTGGGGTGAGGGTAATGGCGCCCCTTCCCCAAGACAGGCGGCTCCTTTAGGACTTCTTTTAGGGAAGGCAGGAGACCAACGATGGGCTGCACCAGGGCTGCCACCCTCATATCCTGGGGTGAGTTTACGGCCTTCCTGGCGTCCAGCAGGGCTGGACATGCCAATGTCTAGCAGGTCAGAGGAGTCATCAGAATCAAGTAGAGAGCGAAAATATCCTGCAAACATTCCCTGAGACTCTTCTCCACTGCACACCCCTCTCATACCGGGGCTGTGGTACATCCCACCCTTACTAGCCTCACTGCTTTGAAAACTTCCACGAGGGGAGCAAGGACTTTGATAACTACCTGCTTTCTCATGAATGTCTCTGTCACCTTTCCCTATCCAACTACTGTTCTCATTTTGCCAATCGTGCTCTTGGGCACCTGCACAATTTTTTGAAGCCCCATTCTTTCGTGGCCGGCGTTTTTTAACCTTCTCACCTTGTACAGAGTCATCTAAAGCTGCCCTATTTATTCCCCCAGTGACACCCTTGCCTCTTTTCCGAGGAGTTCCTGGTTCAGATGCGGAGACCTTACGCTTTTTGCCAATTGTTTCAAAGAAGTCACTAAATGACCTCTTAAAAGATTCAGAGGATCCAGCTGCTCCCCCTCCTCTACTCCCCATACAGCCTGCACGGCCACCTCTTCTGCGAAATCCTGTGAGACGGTGCAAAAGAGTGGAAAGGGATGGATTTTCTGGTGGTATGTGGAAAGTCTCAGGCTCTGTTGGGGTCCAGCAGCGTGGAGGGGAGCAGCGGCCTGTGCTGGGAGGTTGTCTGTTCAAGAAGGCCAGTTTGGAAAGGACATCTGCATATTCTACTTTAACATCATTGGTATCGTTAACATACGAGGGCTGTGGAGATGGTAGCTTTACTGTTCGCCGCCTTCGGATTTTTTTGGGCTCTGCTGCACTGGCTGCTCCTGCTCTGGTCTCATGCATGTCAGGTTGTCCTGGTAATGCCTGTTTTGGGGGGCGTCCCCTGCGTCGCTTCAAGATTACAGGAAGCTCTCCCGGTGGAAACATTACCATCACACTCTTTCCATTGTTTTTCATGTGGAGAAGTGCGGTTGGCTCTCTGGAAACAGTTGTTCCTGGCTCACCTCCGACACCCCCCTCGGGCCCCTCTCCTGTTGAGGCCCCTTCTCCATGTAGAGCAGCACACACTGGCTCCAGGGATGAAATCTTGTAGCTTTTCTGTCGTCGGCTCATATGAACAGGTATTCTGGCTACTTTAACCACAATCCTTCTCACACCTGAATAACGTCCCTGTCGCTTCCCTCTAACTGCATAGTGAGTGACAATGCACTCTCCCTCTGATGTTCTCAAGCTATGATTTGGTGTAACACTTGCTGATATATTTGGTGGTGGTAAAACCTCAAATGATGAGGCAGCAGCACACACCACTGGGGGATGCTCCTCTATCGGCCTTATTTCCTCCATTCTCCAGTCCCTATTCTCCTCTTCTTCTTCATCCTGTTGGTCCAATTCCCTTTTGAACATATTTTCCTCAGCAGCTCTACGTAATCGGGATGATTTCCGAAGATGGCAGGGGAAACGTGGTCGGCCAGAGCTCCGTAGGGTGTACTTCCTTTCAGCCTCCACAGAGGTCACAACAGTGGATTGCCCTGTTACACAAACTTGGTCTGGGTCAGTGGTGCAATCCATTTCTGGTTTACATGTTGAATTAAGTTCTGTCTCCTCCTTAGGTAGAGAGGAAGGGTTGTACTGAGGAGGTGACTGAGGAGTCTTTGGGGGAGGAGTGGTATGTAACAAAGTGGCCGACTGAACTTGTACATTATGCGTTTCAGTTTTTGAAGGTAAAGACAAGTCTTCGGGAATAAGGGAGGGGTCCAGCTCTACAAGTGAGGAGCCAGTGTCTGTGGGTGTGCGCTTGTGTGTTAGCGTACTTGCGTCCATCCACATATGTCTATCCATTGGAATGTGTGTATGCGGCTGCATGTGTGTGCTTGACTGTGAGTGTTGGGGTGTGTGCATCTGTGGTTGTTGTATGTTTTGCTGAATGTGTATTTCTTGCTCCACATATTCTGTCTGCCGACGTCTCCTTGCCCTACGTTGAAGTTGCTCTTCATGGTTCCGTAGACCATTAGCTAAAGAGGGGGGTGAATAAAAGCTGTAATGTACTGAGCTGGCTGGAGTGGAATCGGTGGGTCCTACAGATGTGCCCCCAGGCTCTTCATCCCCCTCCCATAGAGAGGGGCCCTCATCATCACTGCAGTCTTTGTCAGCCAGTGCCTCACAACTCAAGCGAACACCTCCAGAGCGCAGGCGACCTGACAGACGGCTCATTACCCCCAAAATTGCAGATCAGGATCTCCGTATTTATGTATGAGTCAGTGACGGTTCAGTGTTAGGTTTAACTGTAAGCTGGGTCCAGTTCAGCAGGTAAGATGTTTGATCTCTTTCCTCTCACGATGTTATACGTGGACAGAATGAATTGGACCATCAGACTTCACACAGTCCCAGTTTTCAGGAGTGAAGTTAATTCCTAGGGAAACGGTTACAAAATACACAAAGAAGACATAATGGTGAGAATTGAAAACAATTACTGTACAGCATGCTACTGAAATAACTGCAGTTGTTCTTACCATGTCTGCTGCTGTGGCCATGCTTTGTGTTATCCCTGTGGGCGAAAGGACACTTGTCACTATGGCAATACAGTTAGAGAACAGTTGTAACCATGGCAATTGAATATGAGTGGAACGGTAACCATGGTTACATAGTTTTCCTTTCCAACGCAATAGATTGCAGGCCTCACTATGGCAATACGACATATGTCTCAGTGGATAACTGCTTTACATGCTTTACGCTTGACAATTTAAAGCATATTTAGCCAACTTTCAGTGCAAAAAAACCCCCTCACAGACAGTGTAGCACACTGTTTATTGTCTGTGATCTCTCACAATAATAAACAATCACTCTAACTGTTCAGTGCAAAGCCTGATTTGGAAAATGTAGGAATTAAGAGGAATGAGAGAATTAGTAACATCATTTAAAAAAAAAACATCTTGAAAAATGCCATTGCAATGTGGATATTTCACAAGGCCTGGCTCTCATTATTTTAAAAAATACAGCTACCACATATTGATATAAAGTAACATTAAATGTGTCTGCCATGAAATCGAGGTTTCAAAAATGGCTTCATTTTAACTAAAGCAGTAAAAAAAATGGAATATGGTTCCATTTAAAATGCAATATATAAATAAAAGACTTTATTCAGCCCTCACTAACAAAAACCTATAAATACATAAAAATATCAAACACAATAGTGAGCTACACACAAAATATGACCTCTGAGAAAAGGCTAAAATCAATAAACAATGCAAAGAAGTTGGGACATGGCAGCAGGGGGCAGCAAAGGGACGAAAGGCAGGGGATGTGGAGAGCTCAGGAAAGATATGGATGGATGAAAGAATATGTGAATGGACTAAAGAAGAAAAAAATATACATCCTGAAAAATGAGGGGGAAAAGACAAATGCAAGCGAGAAAGGGGAAAATATCATATAATTTACTCCCATGTCATTCCAGCATCTGTGAAACACAAAATGAGATCTTTGGCATAATAAAAGATGCTGTATATACTGCCATGCGTGAAAAAAAAATACACTTGTGTGCTATATTCCAAGTCTTCGAAAGCTATATAATATGTTTCTTGGTGAATAATATCTTTCTTTTTCATTTTAGATGAACAATTCCTTTAAGAATGGCCCTTCATTTGGAATAAACATTGCAGTGATGCAAGTAAGTCCAGCGGCTGGACTCTCTCTCACACACAATACACTTCTATCCATCTCTCAGTCTGTTCCACATGGTTTTTATTACTAACTGGCAACGATAAGGAAAGTGCCGAAAGAGAGCGAGAAAGCGAACCAGAAACATGTGCTACAGTACATGGTGCCGAACAAGCTGCCACACATTCTTGAAGACACTGATTCAGAGATGTTTTTGCTTGAAATTAACAAAAGTGCTTAATCTTCACAATCCTTCATTTCACATCGAGTACTGCTGAAACTACTTTTGATGCACATAATTATTTCTTCCACCTAGAAAACAAAACGGCATTTTCCCCAGCACGCTTAATATTCTGCGACACAAACAAACTAACAGCAATCCAGTGTTCAGAGCCACGGATAAGCTTTCCACACTACTGTATTGCCAGTTTGGCCTGATCTTCTTGTGCTTTAATTCCTCCAGATTTCAACACTGCCTGCTCACTGTCTTCAGGTTTTCTGGGAGATTTAGATCTGAACACATTTTTGGTTGCTTCAGAACAATTCTTGTGTGTGTGTGTGTGTGTGTGTGCTTGAAGACCCATGACCTTCACTTAGCACCAGGTTTCTGACACTTCTTTCTAAAGTGCTCGCCATTTTTGCTTGACAGCTAAAAACCATGCACATGTTCAGAGTATCCATCGCCAGGGGAAACAAAACCGTTCAAAACATCAATGAACTCTCTTGTGTTCAACTCTTTGAAAGCTTCGTTTTGTTGTCAGTAAACAGCGATGATGTGCTGAACCAAAATGGTCTGATCTGCTCATCAGAAGCAGTTCTGTTAAGGCATGTTCAGGTGTTTTTGCTGCTATGTCTTTATACATATACCCTTTCACAGGGCTGGCTATAGATGATGCAGCCTGAGTTTGAAGGGCAACTTAATGTGTGTGCCAGTTGAAAATGACTATATCTGAAATATTCTGTTGTGAAATGAAATCACATCCTGTGATGTTGACTATAGGTCTTAATCCTTTTGACACCATATCGAACAGTAAAAACAAGAAAATCAATGTGAAGATAGTCAGATTTGGCATCTGACCACCTCAGTCTGTTTTACGTGCTCATTGTACACTAACACTTGGTCTCATAGCAGGATTCGTATTTTATACTGCATTTAATGTTGTATTGCATTCCTGAAATGTATCACAAATGAGCTCACTTAAAACAAAAAATGTCCCGAATTAAATGATTCGATCAAATAACTTCAATGCACAAACTAATTACCATGAACATTAATATGCTACAATTGAATTAATTAATCAGCGTTTTCATGTTTTGATTAGTTCCCATGCCAAGATTTGGTTGGGTGTATAATTTGGGGGAAAAAAAATCATTTGAACTATATTTCATGAACAAACACAGGACAATCTAAAAGTTCACTTACAAATTAAAAATCTGTCACTATTTACTTACCCTCATGTCAGTCCAAACCTGTGTGGCTTTCTTTCACTGGCTTTCAATGTTCAAACAAAAAATAATTTCTTGTGTTTTGCAGAGGAAAAAAATGTCATACAGATCTGGAAAGACGTAAACGATGACACTCGCCGGTTCCAGTCCCACAAGACATCCTCGAAACACAAATGGAGATACTTGTAATGAAATCTGAGAGATTTCTGTCCTTCCATTGAAAGTCTATTCACACAGACGAAAGAGATTGTAAAATAAATCCATATGAATTGAGCAGTTAAATTTTTTTTTAAAAGCCTAATTAAATTTGTGCATCATATAAAGCAATCACGTCTCTTTCAGAAGACAGATTAAATACTCGATTCATATGGACTTCTTTTACGATCTTTATGAACGTTTTGAAGTCTTTCAATGGAGGAAATATCTTCATTTGTGTTTTGAAGATGAATGAAAGTCTCATGGGGTTGGAATGACACGAGGCTAAGAAAACGATGACAGAAGTTTCACTTAATTTGTTGAACTATCCCTTTAAGTTGTAATTCCAACTACTTGAGTCAAGTCTAGTCCATATAGCATAGAAAATCAACAAGCATGTGTGTTTTTGTCTTAAATCTCGGCTTATATCCGCATCCTGAACCAGATGATGCTGTCCGAGGGTCACACAAAGGTTTCGCACACAAATATAGCTTTTAGATCTGCTACTTCACCCTTAAACTGTATCTCTTTAATTCTCTCACACTTTAAATTTGCTTTCTGTCTCCTCCTCCCTCTCTCCTTCTCTTTCTCTAATTAATACCGCTCATTAATTAAGCATCAGTCTCACAGAAGACAGGAACAAGCACAACTGCAGAACAGCACTTTAATTACAGTCACGCACACACACTGAATCGCTCACACAGAGTCCCTCAGATATTCACGCACATTCCTTCTCCTAAGCGTTAGAGAGGGAGAGAGGGAGAGAGAGATTGAATGTCTGGAGCTTCTCCTACTATTCTCTCACAGTTCTGGCACCATCACATATTTGCCTGCCAGGACAGACTAGTGAGCTGGATTAAGTCAGCGATGAGTGTGTGTGAGAGAGAGAGAGAGAGAGAGAGAGGTTTATTGAAACAAGCAATTCTGATGTTTGCACAGTTTACAGGTTATCGGTGAATGGAACATGAAATAATTTTTTAGGGCTGTGAAACAATTAATCGTGATTAATCGTAATTAATCGCATCCAAAATAAAAGTTTGTGTTTACATAATATACAGTATGTGTAGTGTGTATAATTATTTTGTATATATAAATACACACATACGCATGTATATATTTAAGAAAAATGTGTTATTAATGTATCAAATATTTATATTTATAATATTAATTTTGTGTAAATATATATTAAGTATATACATGCAAATATTTCTTAAATATATGCATGCATGTGTGTGTATTACTATTTATATTTACAATATAATTATACACACTACAAACACATATATTATGTAAACACAAACTTTTATTTTGGATGCGATTCATCGCGATTCATCGTATCACAGCCCTACTTTTTTTTTTTTTACATTTTGCTTGTAATGGGATGCATTCAAAGAAAGGTTTTTAAAAATCAGTTTTCTGCTTTAAAATGCATGTTTATACTTTGCAAATGTCTTTGTAATTGTTTATGAAACAATTATTTTATTGTAAATTTACTAGCAATTTATACACATTTTTTTTCAGTGTAATATTTATTAAAAGTCTCAAGTTTACACATTTTTAACAACATAGAACCATATTGGATATTGACAGACATAAGAGATTTTGCATTTATCGCTGTCAGTCAATTTTGAATATTTAATTGTGCATGTTAATTTCCATTATTTCTATATGACATTTGCCATCATATAACGCTCACTTAAAGTCAATATTTCAAAACAATAATTTAATAACACTGTTCAATGTAATCATTATCAAATCTCAAAATGAACATGCCTTTTTCATTCTGTTTCATACATGCCTAAATTCATTTTTATGAAGACTGTGATCATTATGATGATAATGATTGGTTACTTATAATTTAAGTTTATTTAGATAGGGACAGATAAAAATAACATAAACTTTGACAGTAATCTGATGCATGTATCATAATGTTTTTAGCTATTAGCTAATCTACAACACTTGTCCCTAGAAGGGCTTTTTTGGTTAAATGTAATACAAACATTTTGAACAATGGAAAATAATCAATTTAATAGATCATTAAACATATTATAAATTAGAATTCTAATATCGATGCATCCCTATTTTCTGTTGATTGGCTATAAATATTATTACAAATAATAATAAATCACAATCTTTTATCTCTAATAATTAGCAAATCCTCATTTAACAATGAGCAACAAAGGCAACTGTAAAACATTATCCGCTGACGTTGCTTTTGGTCATTGTAACTTTAGAAAGATGAGTGGTTTA